ATTGAGGCCCAACCCGCGGGGTTCCGGATCCAACAAGGGCTACTTGCTTGCTTGCTACTGTCTTGAAAACTGAAGGTCACAATAGGACCGTTGGGGGTAAAACTAAGAATGCAAGTTATTCCACTATCGGTGTGTAACGACGGCGAAAAAGACAAAGGAACAGAAATAATGTTGGCGCCGGGACTGGAAGAACTGACTTTTTAGTGTCTTAGAAAAAGTCAGAAATAGGAGTCTTTCGAATAAACAGGTCCCCAGAGGTGTGAGCGTACAGTAAACATGCGCGGGTGGAGTGGAACGCCAGAGAGTATTTGGCATACGCTTACAGAGAAGATGGAGGCAGAATCACTGGTACAACAAGCTTATTTGTCTTAGCTTTCGACATTGTAAAAAGGACATCTTCAGAGGCAATAAACGTGGAGCAAAAATTGGCCTTCTTTTGCAGTTCACCCATGGCAAACGGAGTAGGGTTTGCATTCGTGGTAAGGTTGAGTCCACGCCGTTGCATGGGGTGCGTCCTTGGCTGGGAATTTGGCCGCGCTTCTTGGCCATGCGAGTGAATGCGTAGTATCAGGGAGGAGGTGTATCAACATGTATTTCTATTTCTATTCCACGCCCTTCTATTGGGGTGTATAACAGCTCGTGATGACGATTGGCTAGCCAGAGCGTTGCACGCTGTGCCTGGGCTCCATTTCCTTGTGGCAAGTCCGTGATGAAACGCACGGTCGATCAATAAGTCAGAAGCTCATTAACTTCGCTAGACTTTTCTGAGCCCTTCGCCATTAAGCAAGACCTTTGGTGGGCCCTAAAAGCCACAAGGTCTATCGACGAGCACTTGCTGAGAGGAACCGAGGGCACCGAAAGGGTTGGAAACGAGGAAATCATCCAAGCCAGATCACCCTGGCGCGTTCCGTGAGTTAAGGCTATCTCCAAGATTCTGGCACCAACTTCTCCAACTCTAAATAGGCGGCAGCTAACGTCGAGGTGTGATGGGCCAAAGAGATACTACCCTCAGTGGGGGGCGGAGTTTGCCATTGTCTACTGACTGCAGTTTAGCGGTAACTAGTGGCAGATACGTCGAAAGAACTGCTCGAAAGTTGTTCTGCATCAATAACAACTGACAGAACGGGGCTCCTATATACAGTGGGCGAGATCTCATTAAGCCTTAACCAAAATTCTCCAAAGCGTTTAACATCAGGAGTGGCCTAATCCCAAGATATTCTAGACACACCAGTATGCCGGCTGTGAAATGGACGTCTTTCTAGCCGCGTGCAAAAAGCATACTCGGCAAAACGGATCACTTGGGTCGTGTGCTTTTTTCCCCTGATGCCCTTATAAGATAAAATATATTTTAGAGAATGCATGCAAAAAATATTCTTTAGTGTACTCTCATTTGGTAAGAAATCACTTATGCTCCAGATTTTATGCTAACGCGAAGAGTATAATTAGACTCCTGAAAATATCTTCAGATAAGGATTCTTTATAAGTATCACCGTAATATCATATAACCTCAGAAACCCGGAATACGCGAAAGATGGTGAAGCATAAAATATTTATTTCGCATGTAGCGATATCAAATAAAAGTAAATAATTAGTCGAATACGAACCATTCGTTACAATTTTTGAAAAGCAAGTTAAATGATACCATCAACACAGCAGATGCATATATACCTGGATGCAATAGAACCGTAGTAATAATATAGCTGCCTTTCATTACATGTAACATATGGTTCCTGTTCAAATGCCATATATACATGCTAAAGGAATAGCTTTCATTTTACCTCCGGTTCAGTGAAACAGAACTCCGGGGTCTTTGAATTACTTTGGTGATACCTATAAACTACCCTAACCGATTGTCAATTGATCAATGCCTTTTAGTCCGATCAGCCGTTGTATTTTCGTCCAGGATTTAAGAGCACAAACCGTATATTTTCCATGCGAGGAAAACACAACATTCATTTATGTCATTAACAGCAAACCACATAGGACCTCAACATTTTGTAATAGATGTCGATTGCGTCGCACATTAAATAAGCATCATTAATAAACAGACAGATAGGATACAACTTGAATTAACATTGCACAACCTTAAAGAAGTTTAACATTCGTAAAACTGTGGGATACTTTTTCTTCGGAAATAGAAAACTTGGAGAAGACGTGGTTTCCCGCCAAAAACTTGCAAAAATGAATTTTTGTGTCTGTTTTTTTAAATATATATTTATTCGTAAAGGCGTCGAAAATCACCACAAAAAAAACACGTTACTTAAGTAGTTATTTTTACTGAGATGGTTTGTTTTTAAGGCGGTCGAAATGAAGTGCGGCTAAAAGCTGACATCTTTTAGTGATTGAAGCATCTTGGCATTACACGGAATGACAATGAGTATTGCAACTCCACCTGAGTAATCCTGTATAGTCGAAAACACACGTTATGACCTCGGTCACTGATTTTACTTTGAGTCGTAGGAAACAACCTAGCTGACCCTGCGTCGCTGCAGGCGAGGTGGTGAGCTGACGCGATGATTATCTGAGAAGCGCCAGATCGACCTGCATCCGGTCTACATGGCTTTGTGTCACTAAGTGACGAAAAGCTAACCTATAGTGAGCTTAGAACAGGTGTTCAACTTTGCAACTTCTCGGTCAAGCGATCGGAACGTTGATAACGACCGAACAGGAACGAATGGCTCAAAACCACCACTGATTATCTATCAGAGGATAGGGGAGCGGATAACTAGTGAAAAGTACAACAAGCCTTGAACTATACCATTCAGGCTCTGAAAATTAGTAGCCGGTCACTAGTTGAAATGTCCAGCCGCTACTATAAGTCTCCTGGTGAGGTCTCCCTATACTTGCAATAAGGCGTTGTATTTTCGCGGCCATCCGTAAACGCAAGAAGAGCTCAATAGAAGTAACTGAGAGAAACAAAGAGTTGGCTTTATTCACTTCCTTAATTCTTCTGCAAAAAAACTAGGTTA